GGGTCTCGGGGCCGCGTGGGAGTCGCGAACAGATCTCACTCACCCTGCCGCTATCCCCGCCGCGCTGAGGAGGTAGAGCGGCAGTAGCTCGACGAAGTGGTGGCGGTGGGGAGACCGCCGTGCGTCGAGGGCGACGAGGGGCGCAGCTCCGCAGCAGCGCGGCGCCCGTGCCGGAGGGCAAGCGCAAAAGGCGTGCTGCTCTGTGCAGCCACCACTGCAGTCGCAAAAGTCGCCCGGATTGAAGCCAGGGCAGAGGACCGAGGGAGAGTCGGAGTCGAACTCGTAGCTGGTCGCCGACGTGTTTTGCGAATCGGCTGGAGGCGGCAAAGGTGAGAGCTCGGGAGGCGGGGGCGGCATCTTCTCTGGCGGCTCCGACGGCGAAGGAGAGGGCGAAGATGGCAGTGGCGGCGGCGGCGAGGCCGGCGACGGCGGCGGCGAGGCTGGCGACGGCGGTGGCGAGGACGGCGGCGGCGTCGACGGGAACGCTGAGGGCGGCGGTAGTGACGGCGAGGCGGATGGCGGCGGCGTTGACGGGGACGCTGAGGGCGGCGGCAATGATGGCGAGGCAGAGGGCGGCGGAGGCGAGGGCGAGGCGGACGGCGGCGGCGGCGGCGGCGGCAAAGGCGATGCTGAGGGCGGCGGCAATGACGGCGAGGCAGAGGGCGGCGGAGGCGCGGGCGAGGCGGACGGCGGCGGCGGCGGCGGCAAAGGCGATGCTGAGGGCGGCGGCAATGACGGCGAGGCAGAGGGCGGTGGAGGCGCGGGCGAGGCGGACGGCGGCGGCGGCGGCGGCGGCAAAGGCGATGCTGAGGGCGGCGGCGGCGGCGGCGGCAAAGGCGATGCTGAGGGCGGCGGCGGTGACGGAGTCGGCGAGGGCGGTGGTGAGGGCGGCGGTGCCGGAGTCGGCGAGGGCGGTGGTGAGGGCGGCGGTGCCGGAGTCGGTGAGGGCGGTGGTGAGGGCAACTGCGATGGCAAGGGCAACAGTGATGGAGGACGATCAAGTGTCGCGACCAATGGTTGCGGCTTGGACGCAGAAGGCGGGAGTTGGGTCGCAGGCACTGAAGTAGTGAGTGTCGGCGCCGAATTGAGTGGTGACGGCGCCGACGTGAGTGCTGACGGCGCCGCGATTGCCAGGATCGCTATCGAGCCGCCAGACCGCAGCATCTGCCACCGGCGATTCGATGCAGACAGCCGCCGAGTAGGGGGAAAAGAAACAGAGAAACCATTGGGTTTGTACTATTAACAACGAAGGCGCTCTCAAAAAGAAACAGAAATGCAACGCCAATGAATGCTAGCACCGCACCCCTCTCCTTAAAATTCCTGTGTGGTGGCGGCGTGCCGTCTCCCATCCCTCCCTTGGATTTTTCTTGGATTTTGTGCTTTCTTTCTTTCTTTTTGAAGAGGGAGAGATTTTTGAGAGAGAGAGAGAGAGATTTTTAGCAATACCAAACAACTCTAACACTCACACGTCATTTGGGGCCTGGAGCCCTGTTCACGCGCGCGCGAGACGTGCAGACAGGGTTGCCAGGTAAGAGCCATTTGTTTTGAGATTTTAGCAATACCAAACTGCAATCTCTCTCTCTCTCCCAAACTGTGTTTTGAGATTTTTGAAGACCAACAAGAAATCACGACTCTCACAGTGATTTGGGCTCGGCAGCTTGTTAGCCCCCAGCTTGCGGCTTGTCTCTTTCCCGTGAATCCCTGTGGGGGCGGCCGGTGCCTCCCTTCCCTCTCTTGGGGGTGGGGGTGGGGGGGAGCACTTGAGAGGCAGTTTTTTCTTCTGGCTCTTCTAAACACTCAGAAAGAGAGAAAAAGAAGAGAAAGAAGAAAGCGGATAGGAAACAAGAACACAACGCACTCTCTCCCGTTACAAGGGACATTCTGCGAGATGCAGGGAGGAGCTCAGCCTTGGGAGGAGCCCAGGCGCTTAAAATAATAAAAAAGCGCCAAGACAGGGGTGCCACAAAGGTGTGGCGGAGAGGTGCCGCCGCGGTGCCCACCGGTGCCCGCAAGGAGCGCCGGCCCTGGGCCCTGGAAGCCCGCCCCGCGCCCGCCGGGCGAGAAAGAAAACAGGCAACCCTCATGGGGAGGGATGCGGATGCGATGAGAAGGACGGTTTTCTTCTAAAATCCGTTCTATCTTCTAAATCGGTTGGGGAGATTTCTTCCGATCAGGAATCGCACCGCTCTTTCTCCCCGTTCTTGCACTTGGAGTTGGACCGTTCTGGGTTCTCCTATCCGTCCCTCGGCGCTCGGGCCCTGAGCTATTTCTTCCCTCCTTGCCAGTGTGCTGTGAGAGAGGCTTGTATCTTAAGAATTCTTCCCTCCTTTATCGCCACGAACAACTATCAACTAAGCGGCTGGCACACTATCCAGGAAGGGGCCCTGCTCGCTCTCCGCCTCTGCGCCTGCGCCTGTGGCATCGCC